TGTGTTTCAAGTTGTTGGTCTCGTCCTGGATTTTTATTAGTCACCTTGCGCATGCTTCTGTTGAGAAGAGTACGATGAACTTTTAGATGCATGGAAAAAATATACTTGAAAGAAGTGTGAGGTGCAGACTGGGAATCCTCTTCCTCTGTCTGCAACTGTTAGGGTGGCTCACGTAGAGCCCAGTTGCAACAGGACTGAGCCTTTTCCTGTCTGGCCCATCCTCCAAATACCCACCCATATTACCCTCCGGACTGGTGGGTACTGCAGTCACTGCAGTCTCTCCCCCCCCGCCCCAATAAGGCAGCCTGTTTAATGTTAAGTCGTGAGCTTAACAAATAGTCGGAGAGTGATTTCAGCAAGAACACAACTTTATTCTTCAACTCAAATAGTTCTCCAACACGGATCCACATCTGATAGGCAGAACAGCTTTTACATTGCAGCTGTCCTGCTTTTAAACATTTCCCGGCTAATATAGCCACGCCTATCATACACGTAACAACCAATACGATTGAGCGCATAAGAGCCAATCACGATCGTTCCCACTCGGGGACTTGCTTGAAGTGATTGGATACATTTTTCCTGGGCTAGTGATGTCATTGGCCGTATTTGGATCCTAGCCCAGGATGAAGCTTAACATTGCTTCCTTATGAGATGATTCACCACAGATCCTGCATTCGAGACAGCTTTGAATACATTACATTTAAGAAGCCAGGCTCCTACACTGGGATCTGGACTCTGGATCTCCCTTATCGGAAGGGGAGATTGTTTATTTAGCTGGAGAGAATGTGGTCTCTGACCACATGCAGAGTGCCCTTTGGTTACTGCAGGTGGAGGCTCTGCCTGCAGCCACACTGCAAAACCTAAGGGGGGGGGGACCCCGATCCTTTTGTTTTTTCTCTTTCTCAAAGGAGAGGAAAAAAGGGGGAGACAAGTCAAGTCGTGCCTGTTAAACGAACGTTTACCACAGGGACATCCTCATGCTCAGGTGGGGGGAAGAAATCCCTTTGTGGAAGCAGGCAGGGAGCAGAGAATCCGAGTCTAGGGTCCTCCTAGCTACCAGGCATCCACGAAGCCTGGCCGCTGTCTCCTAAGCAGAGCACTGCACGGGTTAACTCCCAGAAGATGCCCCTGAAGTGGACAGAGAGGAGGATGCAGAGAGCCGGTTCCTGGGTGCCGCCCTCCATCTCCTGGGAGTGCAGCTCAGTGCGCGCAGAAGGCCCCCAAGCTCAAACTCCTCAGTCTCTCCAGGTAAAGGTAGCAGGTGTCAAGAGCACATCTCTGCCCAGTGCAGTGGAGGGCTGCTGTCCCTTGGGAAAGGCAGTCCTCCTGGCCTAGACGGGCCACTGCTCTGACTCCTTATAAGGCAGGTTTCTGTGACTCCCGGGTCAGATCTACGCCTTCTCTGCCTATTCCCGTGGGTGAGATACTCCTGTTCCCGTCCTGGGTCTTGCACCACGGTGATGGGGCTGTGACCTGCCACGACCTGCTACTTTGCTTTCCTTGTTAAAAAAAAAAAGAAAGAAATTGCAGCAAGAGAGAAAGCCAGTGTGCCATGGGCATTCAATAATTCAGAGATTCAGGCATAGTAGCACCTGCACGCGGGTCATTGCCTATGCAAGAGGGTGAGGACAGCCGTGCAGAAACTCCTCTCCACAGGGGTGGGCAGAGGGAGCCGTCAGTGCCCCAGCACCAGGCAGTCTTGATTTGTATCACCTGGCAGAGAAAGACAGCTCTCCCTCCTTCTGCCAGCACTCCCCAGGCATTTAAGCCTGATAGTTTTGAGCTCTTTCTGCCGCGGTCTGCCTTCCTCAGAGCTTTCAGGAACCAGCTCTCCAAAATCCCGTTTGCTGCATTTGGCAGCCCTGTGCTTCAGAGCGCAAATCTGTCTCTGGTGCCCTCTTAGACTCAGAATGAGCCTCCTGGTCCCTGCATTTTGGAGCGGAGCAAAGCGTCATCTGGTATATGAGAGGCGGGAGAGGGGGCCGCCTGCCCAACTGTTTCCTGGACTGTGTGTAAACAGTTGGTTGCAAAGAAGAGCAAGGGATCAAAAATAACTCCCGTGATTCTGTTTTGGAGCCAGCAAACCTACCGGTGATGCACAAATGACATTCAGGCCTAGGCAGGCTTGGTGGATCACGAGAAACTCGTGCTCTTGGAATGTTCACAGCACCCTTTGGAGATTGCTCTCTTGGGTGCTGGCAGAGGAGAAGCGAATCGTGTGTTACTCGCCCTTGAAATTGAGGACCTTCAGTAGTGTTTATGCCACCCCAGCAGTTTCCCAAGTAGCAGGTTTAAGTTTCCAGCCTCCCCTGCTGACAGGCTGCGACTCCCTGCCCTGTGCCTTATAGACTGCTTCCCTCCAATGGCATTCTGACTTTCTCTTGTGCCCCCCTTTTAGAGAATCCATCTCCTGTCCTCTTAGTAGGGTTGCCAGGTCCAGGATGGGAAACTCCTGGAGCTTTGGAGGTGGAGCCTGGAGAGAACAGGGACCTCATTGGGCTCCAGTGCCACAGAGTGCTCCCTCCAAAGCATCCATTTTCTCCAGGGGGAACTGATCTCTGTAGTCTGGAGATGAGCTGTAGTTCCAGGCCCCACCTGGAGCCTGGCATCCTTAGAGTTAATCTCAAGTTTATTAATAAAGGGAGCCAAAAGCTCATCGAACGATGATAAAAAGTGAAGTAAATGAGAATCAAAATTTGTTAATAGCAGTTACTAGTAGACATAGTAGTAGTAATAGACAGGAGGGCCTGGCAGGAGCTGGTCCATGGGGTCGCGAAGAGTCGGACTCGACTGTGCGACTGAACAACAACAACAACAACAACTAGTATTCAGGTAATAGAACATAAGAACGTAAGAGAAGCCCATGTTGGATCAGGCCAATGGCCCATCCAGTCCAACACTCTGTGTCACACAGTGGCCAGAAATACCAGGGGCCATCAGGAGGTCCACCGGTTGGGCCAGGACATTAGAAGCCCTCCCACTGTTGACACCCCCCCTCAAGCACCAAGAATACAGAGCATCACCAAGAGTTCCTATCTATACCTTGTGGCTAATAGCCACTGATGGACCTCTGCTCCATATGCTTATCTAATTCCCTCTTGAAGCCATCCATGCTTGTAGCTGCCACCACCTCCTGTGGCCATGAATTCCATGTGTTAATCACTCTCTGGGCGAAGAAGTCCTTCCTTTTATCCGTTCTAACCCGACCGCTCAGCAATTTCATGGAGTGCCCACGAGTTCTTGTATTGTGAGAAAGGGAGAAAAGGACTTCTTTCTCTACCTGCTGATCATGTCACCCTTCAGCCATCTTTTCTCCAAACCAAAGCGAAACGACAGCTGAGGGGTGACATGATCGAGGTTTATAAGATTATCATGCAGATATCTCATTAAACAAATCACTGCCAAAGAGAGTGTTGTTGAGAGTCTCTTGACAAGGGGTCTGACACCCAAGGTCACCCAGTGTACTGCCTGGTAGAGTAGGGATTTGAACCCAGGGTTGTCGACTGGCTTTTGAGCAAGAGAACCTTTACCTTTACTTTACTGTGGAGTATAAAGCCCTACAATCCTCCTCCAAATAAGTTATTTTCTCCAGGGAAGCCGATCTCCTTAACTGAGAGATTAGTTATAATTCTGGGATCTCCGCAGGCCCCACATGTATGAGGCCCACAAGCAGCTGTTGCAAGGGAGAGAACAGGAGACTGCTCAGGGGGGAAGTGGGCGGAGCCACTCCAATTGTGGCTTCAGCATGGCGGAACAACCTCCTCTGCGGCAGTCAAACAGCTGGGAGCATCTGCCCAGTTCTGCAACACTGGCTCTGCAGTCCGCCCATATGGGTTTTCCTCTGCACCCTCCTCCCAACCCGTGGGGCCTTGCAGTGAGGACACACCAACGTGGAGGTTACCAGCTGCTGTCTTGTATCAAGTTTATATCTCCAGTACCTGGCATTGCGTTTTAGGGCACACATGGCCCGGCCCGACGAGGTGACATTTACATCAGATCTGGCCCTCATTGTAAATGAGTTTGACACCTCTGCCTTAGAGTATCTCGTAACTGACGGGAAGGTTTACAATTCAAAGTGGATTCTGTTTCCCAAATTCATAAGAGGCTGTGTGGGTCCCCTCGGCAGGGAGAAAGGGACTGTCACAGGAGAGATCTCAGCCAGGGTATGAGGTAATCCTCCAAAGCTGCCATTTTCTGTAGGGGAACCGATCTCCATAGTTGGGGGATCAGTCGTGATTCCAGGAGAGCTCCACCCCCCACATTCGCTGCCACAACGAAACATCCCCACGGGGCAATTCTCTGGTTGGTTTTCCCTGCCCATCCCATTGTGCCCATCATGCCTCATGTTGTTGCACCACCGGAGGGCTTTTTTGTGAATGGCTGGCAGAGGGGGAGAAAGGCAGGCAGGAAGGCGCGGAATATAAGACTGGACAGGGTTGAGAAGGCTTGCAAGTTTTGCACTTTCTTGTCTCCTGTATTTCTAGCAACGTCAGAGCAAAGGAGGGGAAGCTAGAGAAGGACATGGATTTTGTCTGGATGCTCTGAAAACCCCGCTGCAATTTGAGGGCCAAGGCAGAGCAGATCCTCCTTGTGGAAGCAGCCAGAGGCTGCGGGGGGGAGGTGGAGGGGGCAGCTAGCAGAGAGGAAGCAGGGCCAGGGCACAACTCGGGCTGCCAAGCTGATCTCCAGACAACAGAGATCACGTCCCCCGGAGAAAGCGGCCGCTTCGGAAGGTCAGTTCTACGGCATTGCACCCCGATGAGGTCCCTCCCCTCCCCTCCCCAAACCCCGCCCTTCACCCCCAAATCGGGAATTTTCAAACCCAGCCTTGGCCACCCCAGTGCAGACAATCGGGAGGGATAATTTCCCATCGCTCGTGCATTCTGAGTGGATTCCCTTTCTGTGAATTTGTGGTTGAATGAAGCCAAGCAGCCGGTCAGAAACTGTCCAACGAATGAACGAATAAGTAAATCAGTTGCCTTGCTTGGGTTCTCTTGCAGGTGTAAATGCAACCTCCATGCCAGCCTGTGCACCTTCAAGGAGGGCAGCCTGCAGTGTGAGTGTGACCACAACACCACCGGGCAGGATTGCGGCAGGTGCAAGAAGAACTTCCGCAGCAAGTCGTGGCGGGCTGGCTCCTACCTGCCCCTCCCCAATGGCTCTCCTAACGCGTGTAAGTCGCCGTCATGGGCTGCCGCTTTCCTTTTATGCCCCCGCCCCGCCCCCCGAGGACGTGTGGGCCTGAACCACGTTTGAGGCCACTTCGGTCAGTGCCTCACAGCACGGCTTGCGCACGAGGAGCACAGAGGCTCGCCTGCAATCTGTGTGGAGGCCGGGCAGACAAGTGGGCTTCACAATGGAAAGTTAGCATTTACAAGCTGGTGGAGCATGTGGGAGAATTAATGACCCCGAGAAGTGAGTAGGAGGGGATGCGTGGCTGACTGCCAACAGTGAGGAAGGATGGCAGGCCCCTTGAAAAGGGGGGCTTGGCTGCGGGGGAACGCTGAGGTCAGTTTGACACGTGGGTTATGCCGGGCTTTTGTTTCTGGGGGAACTCACCGGAACGGAGTTCTGGAACCTCTTCGACAAAATCCTTTTTGAAATGTTTAAAAGTTCATGAGTGTTCAGCGTGCAGATTGAAAAATTCATTTCCCTCTTGAAAGTTCCGGCACCTGTCGTGTGTCCCCCCCCCCCCCAAAAAAGCCCTGCTTGGATAAAATGCTCCATTGCAAACTGAACCGTTTCCAAACTTTCAGGGATGCGCCAAAGAGAAAAACAGACCACCAAGTGGCAACCAAGCTTGTGTGTGTGCGTAAACTGCCATCAAGTCACAGCCGGCTTATGGCAAGAGGCGGGGTGGTTTGCCATTGCCTGCCTCTGCACGGCAACCCTGGGCTTCCTTGGGGATCTCCTAAAGCACAAACCAGGGTCGACCCTGCTAGCCTGGGCCATCCAGGTCAAGGCAAGAGACGAACAGAAGTGGGTTTGCCCTTGCCTGCCTCTGAGACTCCAAGTGAAGGGCGGGGTATAATCCAATCCCCCCCCTCCTCCTCCTCCTCCTTCTTCGTCATAGCTCCTCCCCTTTCTTTTGTGTGTGTGTGTGTGTATGGAAAATGTCAATTAAATCCCATTTATTACTGGTAATGATGATGATAACAGTAACCCTTCACATTTTTATGGCGCATTGCAAGTCAGTAAACTCCCACCCTTTTTGCACGCATACAGGCTGAATCAGACCACTAGTCCATCAAGGTCAGTGCTGTCTACTCAGACTGGCAACAGCTCTCCTGGGTCTCAGGTAGAAGTCTTTCTTTTAGCTGGAGAATCAGCCTGGGACCTTCTGCTTGCAAATCAGAGGCTCTGCCACTGAGTCAGTTTGAGGCTCTACCACTGAGAGCCAGTTTGGTGTAGTGGTTAAGTGTGCGGACTATAATCTGGGAGAACCGGGTTTGATTCCACACTCCTCCACTTGCACCTCTGATGTGACCTTGGGTCAGTCACAAGCTCTGGCACAGCTGTCCTTGAAAAAGAGCAGTTTGTGTCAGAGTTCTCTCAGCCCCACCCACCTCACAGGGTGTCTGTTGTGGGGAGGGGAAGGGAAAGGAGTTTGTAAGCCGCTCTGAGACTCCGAGTGAAGGGCGGGGTATAATCCAATCCCTTCTTCTTCTTCTTTCTTCTTCTTCGTCATAGCTCCTCCCCTTTCTTGTGTGTGTGTGTGTGTGTGTGTGTGTGTATGGAAAAGGTCAATTAAATCTCATTTATTACTGGTGATGATTACTGGTGAAGTAACACTTCACATTTTTATGGCGCATTGCAAGTCATCAAAGAGCTTCGTGTATGTTCTAAAATGAAGTTTGAGACCAGTGGCACCTTTAAGACCAACCAAGTTTAATTCTGGGTATAAGCTTTTGTGTGCTTGTACACTTCTTCAGATATGTACGTGCACATGAAAGCTTATACCCAGAATTAAACTTG